ACAAGCCTGTAATCCCAGCACTCATGAGGTTGAGGCATAAGGAGGATCACTGCGAGTTCAAGACCAGCCTGGGCTACAAAGTGAGACCCTGTCTCAAAAAGACCAAAAAAACAAAGAAGCCAGCCATGGCTAAAAGATGAATTCAAGGCTGGCCTTAACTGCATAATGAAATGTGTCTCAAAAAAATAAAAAAGAAAGAAAGAAAAACGAAAATGAAACCCATAAGTATTTAAGATTACATAACTGGTCTGGATTTGTTTCCCTGGATCCTCCAACAAGGACAGACTCTCTGGCCAACAAAGAGAACATCAGACTAGATACTCCAGGCTGGATAATGGTGTCTGAGATATATTTTGGCTTTGTGTTGGCTTATCACTACTGGATCACAGAGTAGTTTTCATATTGATATGACACATACAAAATGGTATATGATCTGACAATTGGAAACTAGATCACTTTTTTTTATTAACAAGGAGAGCCTTCTAGTTTACATAAACTTACAAATATGCAAAAGAAACAACAAATACATACAGGCAAGTAATTTGGAAACTGATCATTAATAAGACTTGATTGTAGTCCTAAATGACTTACGTATTCCAAATCATAATTGCCTTTGTATTCTATTTCTATCCCCAAACTAAATTAAAAGTATTTTTAAAATAAAACAAAAAGACTTCATGGCTGACCTTACCTTGTTATAACCTATCAAGTCCTATACATTGTAAAATTAATTGGGATTATAACACACTTGAGTAAATTAAGTTTCCATTTGGCTCTGAACTATGTAAAAAAATAGCCTAACATTTTCGTAAAACTTATTACTCATTCATAATTCTTCAAAGTTTCAAAAATGACTTTTAATCCATAAAATATTACAAGCAACATTAAATAATACATTTTTACATTATTTCTTTTATTAAAGTATCTTTAATGGTCACATGCTGATCAACTTTTTTGTCATAATTTTTTGAAGCAAAGTGTCACTATGTAGGAGGCTAATCTTGAACTCTTGGTGATCCTACTGCCTCAGCCTCTTGAATGCTGGGATTATAGGTGTGTACCACCACACCTAGCAGTCAACTATTTTTTTTCCTCTTGAACTAGAGATTGAACCCAGTGAGCTATTTCACAAGCTCTTCTGGCTACTTTTCTTTTTTTCTTTTTTCTTTTCTTTTTTTTTTTTTTTCCAAACAGGCTATTGCTAAGTCACTACATCACCCAACCTGATCCTCCTGCCTCAGCCTCCCAAAGTGCAGAGTATTATAGGCATGTGTCACCATTCCTGGCAACCTTTTAAAATTTAAGTCACAAAACAAAACTTGTTAGGTCCATAAGGCCTACAATTCAGCAAGATACTTCAGCATTGGATATTTAAAGAGATACAAATATCTGTATATATATATATATATATATATATATATATATATATATATAATCTTATTTCATCCTCATCTTCAAATTATTCCCCCTCCTCCTCCCTACCTTCCTTGCCAGGCAAGTGCTTATTCTAGTGAGCCATCTCCCTAGCCTCTAATAATTCTCAATACTTAACATTTTTAGAAAAAAAAAAAGTTTTATTTCATCTAAGCAGTTCAGTATTTCTACAACTTTTGGAAAATAAAATATTAAACTCCACTTGGATACTGTCAGTAAGTGACCATAAACCTACCAATCCATGTAGTTATTAGAAATCTTCAGGATGTGGGGCCAGGGAGATGGCTCAGTGGATAAGCGCTTCCCTGGTAAGCTCAAGGGCCTGAGTTCAATCCCCAAAAAAGAAATCTTCAGAATGCATGATAATAATACTTACTGAAAAATAGGTTTTTAGACCACTAGAAACATTAATTGATAAGAACTTTGCATTTATAAGCCCAGTATAATGGCACACATAATGAAATTCCCCTCCTCAGGAAAGGCAGGAGGATCACAAGTTTGAGGCCAGCTTGGCAACACAGCAGACCACAGAGCAAAATAAAAAAGACCGTAGCTCAGTGGAAGAGCATCTGCCTAGCAAGTATGAGTACATAGTGTCAATTCCTAGTACCATTTTATTTGGGTTTTTTGTCTGTTTTTTATAGACAGGCTCTTACTATGTGGTGCACACTGGTCTCAAACTCACTGTGTAGCCAACACTGGCCACAAACTTGCAACATTTCTCCTGCCTCAGCCTCCAGAGTGCTAGGATTACAGGGCAAGACAATTCTATAGGGAAAAGTATACATGAATAAAATTCAGACACTACTATAAACAAAATGGAAGGCATTACATCTGAGAAGTACTAGAAGAGTTAGGAAAAGAAATGGAGGGATAACTTCTAATAGATCAGTGAACATTCATCCTAGCAAAGACCATATCTGATGGGTTCTAATACATGATTTCAGTAACACTGGGTATCCCAATGAAAGCATCCCAGAATGTGGATAAAAGCATATAAGGAACAGTAAATACAAAATAGTTTCTACAGGTATTACTGTGGGCTCCAGGAAGAGAATCAACTGGAAAATCAGGTTGGAAACAAAAATTGAAGGACTTATATGATAAAATAAGAAATCTAGAACTTTTTGCATCTTTTCAGTAGGCAAAAGAAAACCAATGGGAGGTTTTGAAAGCCATTAAAAATTATTGGAAGGTAAACAATCAATGGTACTTTAATATTAAAGACCCTGACTTACAAACAATTTCTTCCATTCTGGCAATTCTTCCATTCTGGCGGAATTGTTCGTAAGTCAGATTCATTCGTTAAGCCAACAAAGTAAATCTTAAGACAGTATACCTGTGAAAATTAGCAACTCAAATATTAAGTTAAGGACTTACTGCACTGTTGGACAGAGTACAAATAGGAAAACAGTGTGCTAACCATACCAATACAGAGAATATCACTATAAAATAATATTTAGGCACCAGTACCAATATAGAATAATGAAGTTGACATGGTGTAGGAGTTAAGAAAATGACAGGTACAAAGCATGCTTGTAACTACTTCACTTGATGATTTACTTAGTTTTGAGTGCTCAAAACTTAATCACATATAACAAGGTCAATATTAATGTTATTCACATTAAAAATTTGTGGGATTAAACAATGTCATACTCAAGTGTAGTTCTTTCTTAAAAAGCTGTTACAAATAACTAACCATATCTATATAAAGGATACAAAGTGGATAGTAAAGAACAGCACACACATAGTTTTAGCACTCTGAATAGAATCTCATTATGCACAATTTCATTCAAAGAAGGCCATTTTAAACTCAAAAGTTTGTTTCCACAGAAAATAAATTCTGGATCAGGATTTTCCACACAACTTTATCCCTACCTATAATACATTTTTACATGGCAGTCAACCCCCTTTCTTAAAACTATTTCTGGACAACTCTCTCTGTTAGGTTAATTATTTTTCAACCATTAATCCCTTCTTCATTATCTCCTCTCATTCACCTCCCCACCCAAAAAATTCTCTTTATATGTCTAAAAGGCAAGACACTGAATGATACAGTGATTCTAAAAAAGTTTAAATATATATATATTTTTTAAATTATAGAAATGTATTAACCTTAGTTTTTATGACAGAGGTTTCAGTGATACACTAAATTTCTAAGCACATGAATGACAAATGTATCTAGCAGAAGGTATGCTTCACCATTAGGGTGAAACAAAGGGGGAAACACACAATAGATGGGTGGCAAATCTTACAAACTTTGCAAAACTGAAAGGCTGCAACTGGACTGCAGTCAAAACTATAAAAGGAAATGATCACACCTAAATGAAGAAAAATACAAAATCTAAATGATCAATAAGAACAAAAAGGGCTTATTCAACATTAATATTAGCTTTTCGTATAAATGCTATTTAGCATTTAATATTATCGCTAATTTTTTAAAAGGAGGGTAATTCACTATTTGCAAGGGCACAAGTAATTTCTACATACCTTCAAGAGGACAATTCACTACACTTGCATTGGCTCAAATCCTTTTAAACATTTCCAAAAATATGTAAGTTCCCAAATGACACAATATGTATTCTGTAGGCTTGGTTATAACACATCTTTAAAACACTTAACGAAATCAACCTCAACAAAAACAAGCAGTCATAAAGGCCCTCTGTTTATCCAAAATCATTACATAAAACACTGTCTGTAATTACAAACAGGATTTAAAAATCTGACAGCTAATAACCATAAAATGAGGTAAACCTAAAAGAAAAAAAAACTTTGTTTTCCCTTCTTTCCCTTTTACTACCAGATACAGAAAATGTCCGTGACACTTTCAGACTGTTAACTCTAAATTAATATATAGTGTTTGTATATTTCACATGTATATAGGAACTATTACACATATGAACATACCAAATAGTCACAAGAAAGAAAGGTAGGCTCTTTTTTTCAACTGAAAGAGTTGAAGTTATATTAAACTCTATCTCATACATTGTTAAATCACCATAAATTAAACAATAATGAAATATTCTATAGATCTTTCTGAGTCACACTATTCTAAGATAAAAAACCTAAGGCCAGAACGTCCAATTTCTGAAAATCACTAACCGGCATTTAGTTTCTGTAAGAGAAAATGTTAATCCTAACATGAATAATCCATATAAGCAACTCAGTTTCTGAAGAAGGTAAAACACAAGGAACCAAGTCAGAAAAATATATAAAAGGACCAACTTTAAAGAATTATCCTAAAAGGAAGGACTGACTCAAAGAGTGATATACAAAACATCATCACAGGTAGAAGTCTTTACTGGGAGGAAGAGAGGGGAAACCGTGTCCTTCCTCCTACCCGCACTCCAGCCCCCACCCCCACCTTCGCAGGACAATGGGATGGGGTCCTAACTGCAAACTTCAATCGTGTAAACCAGGAGCTTTACTGCAATTCTTAACTGTTAAATCATCCTCTTCATCCCAAACCCTGCGCACCCAGGAACATTTCATCCCCGAAAATATCACCAAGGTCTTGTTAAACACAAATCAAACCCATCACAAGATTTTTTTTTTCTCCCAAGTACCTGGAGGATCCATTTCGATATAAAATATCAGTTCTGTCGAATAAGGCATCATCACCTCCCTCCAGTCTGCGTCATCGCGGTCCATACTCCACACCGTATTGTACATCGCGCTGTCAGGAGCAGGTCGTCAGGAAATATATAGAAAGCATATGTGTGTGTGTGTGTGTGTGTGTGTGTGTGTGTGTGTGTGTGTGTATATATATGTATTTTTTTTTGTCTAATATTTTAAAAGCTGAAAAATGTATGTGTAAAAGTTCCACACGAAAATGTACTTCGGGGTTTATAACGGCCGGTCCAAATCCAGCCAACTACCAGGACCAGGACGAGAACAGGATGCTCCCTTCTCTCTTCCTACAACAACCAGCAAAAGGCCACCGGAACTTTCAAGCTGTGGGTTTTTCTCCTTTGCAGGTTAGACTCGCTTGGGGGCCGGAGAACAGTAATATTAAAAAGCCGCTTCCCAAAATCCTTTTCACACAATCACTTTCCAACAAGAAAAACCTCCGCCGCCTCCAAATCTTTCTGCAGAAGCCACTTTTGTGTCCTTCGAATGAGGTGGGGGAGAGCGAAGAGGGGAAAAACGCTTTGGGAAAAAGCTGGGAACGTGACAAAGGAAAGCATAAAAAAGGGCTGGGGACTGCGCTCAAGTTTCGGGGTCCCACTCGTCTGCAGCGCGATTCCCGCAGGGGCCCGGACTCTGGCTCCGTCCCCGTCGTCGGAACCGAAGCTGTCGCAGCCTGAGGGTTGGTGCCCGTCGTGAAGTCCAGTCAGCTCGGCTCGCCTGGGCGCTCCCGCGCGGTGCGAGGTGCACCACCAGCACAGGATCTCCTCACGCTCTGCCCTGACTCCAGCCACTAGAGTTTCATTTTAACGGCGCCGAGGGGATATTCTCTCCCGCCCCCTCTGCCCCCCCTCGAGGCGTCGCCCAACTGCATCAGGTAGGGGGGAATTGCCAGCAACAATACCACAATTTCCCTCTATCTCGCTTCGACGTACAGGGAGGGCCAAGCGCCGGAGAACGTGTTCATGAAGCTATCTTTCACTCTGGGTCTCAATCCTTCTCATCTCCCTCTAGAGCTCGACTCCTTAATCAGTCGTCCTCCCTCGCCCCCAGCCTCTATTGAATTGGCACAGTCCGGGCGCTGGCCGCCCGCCAGGAGTCAGCTCCGAGAGCACGCGAGCCAGGCTGAAAAGGAGGGAGGAGCGGGGGAAGGGAGGTAAGGTGGATGGTGATTGGCTGATCCCGGTTGCCGGAGCCAGGAGCCTACGTCTTTTGTCTGCCTAGCTCTGGCGGAGGAGCGGGAGACCTCTGCGCGCCCCAAGAGAGCCAATCAGGAGATAGCCGGCTCCGGCCGGTGAAGCGGCGATTGGTCAAATGCTAGTTACTAAGCGGGACAAAGGCAGAGGGAGGAAGAAAAGAGGAGGAAAAAAGAGAAGAAAGAAAGCGCAAACGGCGGTTACTGACAGGCTGGGCAAGCGCTCGGGGGGCTCAAGCTGCCCGGAGACAGGCGGGGCTCCCGCCGAGGCTCGGTTCGCCGGGACAAGTGAGGCGGGGAAGACAGACAGGCTGGACACCACAGCGTGGCCGCGGGGGAGGGAAGCCGAGGTCGAGGGACGCGCGCTATCCCTTGGTGAGGCGCGCGCTGTCCCGGACCTGAGAAGGCCTCCAGGCAGAGTCCCTCCTCGCAGACCTCTTAACCATGCTAGCTAGGGCTACCCTCTCCATTCCGCGTGACAGGTCCTCAGGTAAAGCAGAAATCGCCAAACCCACTTTGAAGAACATTCCCACTCAGGGAAAGGATACATGCTAAGGGCCCCCGCAGCGGTCACGGCCATCACCTGAGACGCTCTCTGCTGCTCTCCTGAACGGGTTAGGCGTTTCTCAGGGAGGCATTCGAAGTTCCTCTGTGCTTTACACCTCAGGACTTTTGAACCCCGAGGTAACTCCCCACACGTGAAATAGTGAGACATCTCAGCACAAATGGTGAGGCCGTCAGGCTGGAGTGCTCAAGCCAGAAAGAAAAGGAAAAAATCTTGGAATGACAGTGCCTGTGTGATTTCTGAGGCAAATCACAGGTGTTGGAATCTCCTGGCAAAATGTCTCTATTCTGTTTCCCTGACAGACTCCTTTCTCAACAGCCAGATCCTCTCTCAAGCTTAAAGCTGTAGGATGAGCTTCAGTATGAAAATTTTCCTTGCATTTCAGAAAGAGCTAATTAATTTGCTGAGGAACACTGAATATCTAAAAGTAGATTTGTGTCTGAAGTTTCCATCCTGCCCTACAATAAAGTCTGAGGAGGCCAAAAAGTGCTCCATTTCCTCTTTATACCGGAGTAACAAAGCCCATTGTGTTTTGAATTAACAACCTGATTTAAGCCCCAGAAAAACCGCCTACCCCAAGTAGCTCAGCTGTGTTGAGTTGCCATCATTTCATACTACCTGACAGGTTGGTTCTGCCTTCCCTTAACAGTGCCTGAGTTGAAACAGTTCCTGAAGAAGACAACAGTCAAAATGTGTATGAATTGAATAGAGAATAAGGGGAATAAAAAACTGATAATGGTTAGGGGAAAGCTAGAAGAAAATAAAACTGGATTCTTCCTTACATGTCTGAAAATGCTTTCTTACATTTCTGAAAATTCTCACTTTTCTTACAAAGTCAAATCAGAAGTTAGATCAACTTTGGGAAAGGGCTTAGTAATTTTTAATATCCTGAACCATTCCTTCAGGTAGAAGATGCTGAAAGATTAATTTGTGGCTGGCTTCTCAACAGTCTCCATTTCACCATCTTTGTGAGCCAGAAGTATTCACATTTGATAACTCAAAAGGCAAAACAATCAGTCAAGGGTAAGTGGTTTATTTTTGTTCACGGGTGTTCCTGTACATTCCCAAAGGAAAAGAAACAAAGGATAAAAAAGATAATGGTTTTCAGATTTCCACAGCGGCTTTTGACTGGACCATTTTCATCAAGTAGTGATGGGATTCAAATTTCTAATACTCAGAGCAATCACCAGGCCTTAATTCACACCTAAGACTATGGCAGATAGAGTGAAGTAACATAGTATATAATCAGATGCTCAAGATGAGTGCAGAGTAAATCAGTGGTTCAACCTTGCAACCTAAAATTATATTACCTGTCTCTCCAATTTTAATAGATATTTGAACAAGAGACTTCCAAAGAATCACATTAATGCAACAAGCCATATTGAACAGAAGGAAAGTATACTTCCTTTAGAGGGGCTTGTCTCAGCCCTACCATGGTGGGAGGTGCTTGTTACATAGTGCTGACCTTACTTTCTCTCAGTTGAGAAATAGAAAGTTCTAATTGTCATCAGACTGCCTCTGGCTCTTTGGCAAAGATAGAAAATGTTAACTCTGTTGTCCTGGATAATTTCCATGCTAGAGAATTCTGTTTGGCCGGGATGTGGGTTAAATTCAACTCTTAAGAACTCAAACTCCTATATTACAACCTGCTACATTGGGAGTTGCTTTTTATTTTTCCTTTGTCCCTATTCTTTTTTTATTTTTAATTTAAAGTAGCCTTGGGTAAGTCAAAAAATGTTTCTGCTTTGGTTTATATATTTGTTTGTTTGTTTGTTTTTTAATTTTATTTATGTGTGTGTGTGTGTGTGTGTGTGTGTGTGTGTGTGTGTGGCCAGCTCAGCCCACCAGGGGATGGGGCTGGCTGGCATGTGGTGCTGGGGGATTGAACCGTGGTCCCTGTGCTTTGCCAAGCTTGCTCTAAGTAGGTACTCTAGACCACTGAGCCATCCCACCAGCCCTGATTATGAAACACTTTTAAGATTTTTTTTTAAGGTAAAGTATTTTTTTTATTTTATTTATTTATTTATTTATTTATTTATTTATTTTTGGTGGAACCAGGATTGAACTCAGGCCCTTCCACTTGCCAGGCAAGCACTTATTCTACTGAATAGTAGAATAGTATCTTTCTGCAACTCCAGAGAGGATGTCCTTCATTTTTCAACTTGATACACTCTTATTATCAAACTTCAAATATATGCTGTTTGCCCCTCTTTATTTCAGAGATAGGTAAAATTTTCTTCTGCACTCTGAGTAGAGTATGATCTGAGAGTTCTGTACGCCAACAGAATCTGCCTGAAACTCAGCCAAGAGTTCTTCATAATTAAAGGTGCCATCCAAGCATGCAATATTTTTTTAAAAGCCTTGCAAAATAGAAACACTTTTTTTCCTCTAGAGTTACTTGCTTTGACTCTAAGACTAACTTTAGCCTTTGGGAGGAAATCCACTGGCCTCAATATCCTTTTACTTTTTCCTTTCTCATCATTTTCCCTTGACTACTTGTCTTTTTGGGTTGCATTTTATTTTTTTTATTTTTTGGTGGAACCAGGAATTGAACTCAGACCCTTGCACTTGCCAGGGTAGCGCTTATTCCTCTGAACCATATCCCGTCCCTTGACTATTTGTCTTTTGATAAGGCCTAGTACACCCAGCTAAATAAACTTACTTAATAAATGACACTCCCAGAAAACACTAAAAATTATAAGTTGCAGATTTAAGGGCCTCCCTTGCCACATACCTTGTATATCAGAGATATATCAAGTTTTGATTAGAAAAGCTTGCCTTTATAGTGTAAAAAGAACAATGATGGTAGATCTTCTGAACAAAAGAGATTTCACTTGGGAATTTGATAATTATCTCTTGAAGTAGCCGTACCTAAAATCATAATTTTCCATTTTTCTCTGAACATTCCTTTTATTTGGCATTTGCAATTTCTTATCTCTCAACTTTCTTAATTCTTGAATATGTATTCATGATAGAGGTAATCATATCAGCCCACAGCAACTAGAAATTAAAACAGTACATGAATGAGTGGGCTTCATAGAAGTAGCATTCCTCCAGATGCTGACAAATCCCTGGGTTTAGGGAGCAGTATTTGAGGGCTTCCTTAAACCCATCAGTGCATGACAGATTTGCTATGCCTCACTCTTGCCCCATTGGTCAAATTTTTAGAGGTCACCCAAGTAGATCTCTTTAGCCTAACATGCTTCCTTCTTTTGATGTCTGCCCTTCCAGCAACATAGGGTCCACCTGGTGGTAGATCTAACATGCATGCCACTGCTACAGATTTCCCTCTAATAAGACAACAGATTTCAGCTTGGCTTTTATGAGAAGCATACAAATAAGATAAAAATGACAGGAACAACAGGGTGTTTCACAAGATCAGGAGACAAACAGAGTAGGCACCTGGTGAGCTCTGTTACTTTATTTAATCTCCAAAACCCTGAGAAGAACAGTTGCATTTTTATTCTCATTTTACCAATGAGGAAATAAAGACCAAGTGAAGGGACTTGTTCAAAATCTTGCAGGCACATAATAACCCAGCCAAGACAAAGGCTCCATGTCACTAATACAACTTCATTGCCTTCCCACAACATGACACAGTTTCTCCCATGCCTTCATTTACTTGGCAAATGTTTACTAATGTGTCTGTGTACTAGGAATACAGAAATGAATAAAACAGAATCCTTAACATTGAATATAGAATTGATAGAGGAGGAGCCAACAAAGGGATAAATAGTACAGGCATGTGATAAGTTGTCGAACTTAAGAGAACCCGGCCACATGCAGAGGCTATCTGGAGAAATTAGGCTTCCCCAAACTTGTAAGCACTTGCTTTAAACATACTTTATGACATCTCAGTTTTCCCAATTCATATGATAAAATCCAAACCTTTAAAAGTTTTGCTTTTTACCAAGATAGCACCGAAGGCAAAGAAGGAAGCCCCTGCCCCTCCCAAAGCTGAAGCCAAAGCAAAAGATTTGAAGGCCAAGAAGGCCATGCTGAAAGCCATCCACAGCCACAAAAAGAAGA